AACATATACTAATCCGCCAAATCCATTTATTTCTGAAAATTGCAGCAAAAGCAAATGTTGTACCGGTACATTCCCTTTAAGAGGAGTAGAAAGTTGCACAAAAAATGTTCCTAAGAAAAAGTCATCTGGGTGATCTTGAACAGCATGTGTAATTTGCATTCTATTTACTGCCAAAAAAACCCACAACAGCCGATCAGCTGTGAATAAATTTCCATGTGTGTTCTGCACTTTTAACCATCAGCAAGGTCTCCTACATACTGTACACATGATAAAATTACAAACAGGAACATATACATTACTTCAATCAGAGTTCACAGATGAGCTGCCAGTAATGCATACATGTACTTTCCTGTTCTAATCATTATTAACGGTCTGATAATAACGCTTGGTAAAATAATGACTGGTTCAAACAAAGTCTAATTAACACTTGACAGAATGTCATTTATCATGTTGTGACTTTGAGGATAAACACAAATTAGGTGGGGACATTATTTGTTTTTAAAAACCAATTATAATAAACTGGCGATTCTTCTGAAAATTTGGTAAATTCCTGTAAATTACAAGTACCGGTAGATGTTGGAGAACAAAAACTGTCCCACACCTAACAATAATTTGGACAAAAAGGCAGCAACCTATTTCATTTGGGCTTGACAAATTTGTATTTTCTGTCGGTAGAATAAAGTGTAACACGTACAATTGAAGGTCAGTGAATAAATATTTTAGTATTTCTAGATGCAATTGTCATGTACTATAGGCTGAAAAGCAATCTATAGGTAGCGATCTACGTGGGCAATAATCAAGGTCCATCGTGTCAATACAGCATGTAGATCACGTTAATAATTCTCAAGGGCGCTATGAGTTTAATTACATACTGTGGAAAGATATTGTGGCAATTTCGGAGGGAAAACTGTGAACTGGCTAGAAAGGCTTGCCTACGTGTAGACAATGTAGGTCAACTGGGAACGTACAGCATCAAGCTGCACAACACATGATCAACATAACTAGGACAGCTACATGTACATGGTCTACTAGTTATTTACAATTGTCCGGGTGAATTGCTAAATTTTATTCCCAAACATGTTACAGGGAATCTGAGGGAAATAAGAGTTCTGCTTCCGATTACAAGGCATTCAAAATTAGGGTAGATTGGAACATTTTGGGGGGCAATTTTTTTTGTACGATCATATGGAGGCGTCTGCGTGTAGTCAAGGGTAAAAGGTAGTAATTGATGGTTTTGGGTGTTTTTTTACTTCATTTTTTTCCGTAAAAAAAATTAGGGTAGGGGCTGTCAGAATAGGGTAGGTAGGGAAACCGGAAGCTGAGCTATTTTGTTTTGTTTTGGCCTTATTGTTCACTATTAAGTGTTGCTAACTATTAATTAGCTAAAGTAAAGATGCAAATTTCTTAAGATGTTTCATAAGTTGGTTTTTCTGTGCATAAATTAGCATTAAATTTAACTACAAAATGTCTCACACGTGACCGCTTAAAATGTCACACATGTGACCACAGAACAGTTCCCATTTAGTAATTTTAAACTAAGAGGGTGTACATTGATAAATGCATCCTGTAAATCACAAAAGACTAGTCTTACTCCAAAATAAGTGTGGGGGTGTGTGTCCTTAGAACTTAGGAGAAAAGCGTGAATTTCTGGTATGGGCCCGATAACATAAATATGTCTAATGTCACACACACATGACCAAACTTTGATGACCCCTCCTGAATCAGTGAAAGTAATATCAGATGTAGTTACCGTAACTAGGGGGTAAGCTTAAAAAATCAGACAAGCTCAATTTTATGTCACACAAGTGACTAAAGAATGGCCTTACATAGACATACTATGTGCAAATGTGTTACATGTGCACACGTGTTTGAATAGCTCCCCTAGAGTCAGATGGTGTCAAGCTTCCCCCCCCCCCCCAACACTCCAACCCCACTCCCAAATGCTGACAAGAAATCATCGCTTCTGCTTAAATTATAGAAAATCAGCAGCTTTGTTTCAAAACCCAAAGAGACACAGACCTATATAAAGACGTTTCGGCCGAGTTACAATGTAAAAAGGGCAATGGTTTGGTTGTTGTATAGCTTGGGTTGGCATGGGCAAGCCTTTTGAGGGTTCATTGTAACAACATTAAAGCAACAAACAACACCCTCTGATATATCTGTAATGATCTATTAACTTTAATAGGGGCTTCAACATAGCTTGTTTAATCTTGTCATTTAGGTGGAGACAACATGTTGACAAATGTTCAGTGCATTAAAGTGGGATTAGTGCTTAGCTTGGAGTGAGTGGCACCTGTCATGGCCATGTACTGGCTGTGTGGAATCCAGGGGGAGGGAAGGGGGTGTCGAGGTGATTTTGTTGGCTTAAGGGGTTCAGGGGCTAAACACTTTCCCATACGGCCAAGAAAATAAACCTGTATAAAAATCATGCAAAATATTAGTCTTCATTTATTATTAATTCAAAAAAAAATCATTGATTTTTGATTGCTGAATCACATTACGAAAGCACACACACTAAAAAAAAAAAGAGAAAAATATAATAAAGAATTTAAAAACCATCATTCCAACTATTGTTGGGACTTCCCTAAATATAGTTTGGGCATAATATTAATAACAGTTTGTTATATTTATACATGCCCTTCAGTGATTGTCAATAAAACACTAAAACACATTTAATTTCAGGATAAGCAGAAATAATCTCTTTCAATGGTAAATGTATCACAGTACACAATTTGCAGAAGGCCTGCATAGGATAGCTAGCGATGGTACAGAACTTTACACTTATGGTTACAGGTACAATGTAGAGCACATCATTTGCATTTATCCAAAAAGTAACTGACAAAATTATTATTGAACAGCATACTTGGTTTAAAGATAGTGATGGCACTAAACTCCCTGTGAAATTATTCTTTCTGGCATGCTGTCATTTTGAAGAATATGAAAGAAGGTCATTTCCAGAGATGCGTCTAAAGATGCAGTTTTGGAAATTTCTGTTTGTAGTTCGCTTTTATATATATAGTAAACATTTATTTCAATGTTGCCATTTCCACACACTAAAATGTTACAATGCCGTGTAAACACATTATACAGAGAAAAATGCAATGAATTATGTAAATTTGTGTATAATAATGTACATGGATCAATTGATACTAAAACAATTTTACGACAACATTTAGGTATAATATGGTGAAGCGTCACGCTTTTGTACCCTAACCTATCGACAGACAAGTGGACATGACCGAGAAAAAGAAAGACAGTGACAAAGGACAAAATGGACAACAGTGAGACACACAAAGACACAACCATTTTGACAACCTAGAAAAACAGTAACTGGTATGAGACGAGGGCATATATCTAGATTCATAAATTATAACTAGTTATTCGAACAAACGTAGAAAAAAAATTAAAAATTTGGTGAAGCCATGAATGGGTGTGCACAAGTGTTGACACGACGCACACACGCGTGTGGGCTGCTATAATTCATCGGTTCAGTGCATTACTTCGCATACCGGTAGCTGCAATCGGCTGAATGAGAACGTGTCCAGGATGCTGCATTAGGGCGCAATTAACATGAATCAGCAACTTTTGAACTGAACTTGAGATCCTAGAATATTGTTTTCTCGGAATATACAGCATTCACTGAGCTGGAACTTCATCAAGTTAGTTGCTAAACACCCTTCTTTAGATTTTGAGCACATTTGTAGCTTCAAACGAGCATAATGCACAAATTACAATTGATCTACTCTACCTGTAATGCATATGGCTACATACAATAGATAAGGAATACCAGCATCTATATAGAACGTTTAATGAAGTGATGCGTATCGCTCATTTGACAAGCAAACTGAACGCATCGCTTGAAATTCAACCTTGTAATATGGCAATGAGTTCAAGTGCCTAGTGTTGCATCAGATCATGCCCATTTATTCGGATTGCCTTGATTGGCCTTTGTATCAATAATAATTAAAGAAGAGCTTTTGAAAAGTTCAGCTAAATGTCAAGTCTGCGTATGTCTTTACAATGTTGACAAGCATGGTCAGACTATACACAAGAAAAAGCTGGGAATGTGATTGTGACGCATCATAGAGCTACATGTATGAAAAAGATCCCCATGATTTATTTTAGTAAAATGCAAATGTACATTCTCACAGTAGAAACAAACACTTCCTTTCAGCCATAACACTTTCTCAAGTTTCTGTGTCAATCATTCTTCAAAATTATTTGATACAACTTTACGGTTGTACTTGTAGCCAATTGTTTTTTAAAGCGCTCCTCTCTTCACAGGCCATTTACATTACAAAACAAGTGGATTGTTGGTAATGTTTGAAATATTTCCAATTTTTTTTTTCTTACCTTTTTTTGCAAAATGACAGAAAATGAAATTGATGAAGTTTTTCTTTCGAAAAAAAACCAAACCCATTTTGGTTACACTTGAATTAATGTGAATTGGGCTACAAGCGTACTTATTTTATCAAGCGATCCGGAATTGTTGATGATCTGGAACTGTATTGATAATCAAATAAAACCTTCCAGAACCTCTTTCGAATTGCATTTGCAAACTAGGACTAGGCCTACTTATAATTAAGTACAACTCCGCCCCTTATTGTTGGCAATGTTTTAAATATTTCCAAAATTTCTTTTTCTTACCTTTTTGCAAAATGACAGAAATTGAAATTGGTGAAATTTTTCTTTCGAAAAAAACCCAAACATTTTGGTTAGGCCTAGGGTACACTTGAATTTATCATGAATTGGTCAAGTGATCTGGAATTGTCGATGATCTTGAACTGTATCAATAATCAAATATTAATTTTTGTGAATGTAAACCTTCCGGAACCTCTTTCGAATTGCATTCCCGAACTAGTTATAAAAGTACAACTCCACCCCTGCCCCTCCCCCCCCTCCCCCGTCGCAAAACCGCAAACGTCAAACCCCATCAATTCACCAACAACATCGATGTTGTTTTGAGTTGCGAATCAAAACTTTTGCTAAAAAATACTCACCACAAACTGTGATGATGGTTCGCCAGCAGCAGAACGATCAAGTTTCAATACTTCCGCAAAGCACAATAACCGGGATAGAAAAAAACAGGGCAGGTCCAAGTGTCAACAACTGTGTACAACCGGTTTGCATATATACCCGCTCGCAGCTGCACGCACCGTGATTTTGTTTTCATTCAACGGGAGCATCCAGGGCGATCTCCCCGCATGAAATGCACGTACGTCACGGTACGTGATCGGTCCACGTGAACTATTTTACCGATGTGTTCCACGTCAAGCCCAAAAGCGCAGCCACATAATGCACAGACCTATTACACAGGCAGAGTCATTTGGGCTAGTGTATTCGCCATCGCTAAGCCCAAACTGAAATAATCCATTTTAGCAAATAGGGATGACCTCAAGCAAGAGGTAAAACAAAAACACTCTTAAGCAAGATTCAAAACATATATTAAATCTATTTACGAACTCAGAATATGAAATCAATACTATGTATTTCATATCGATCATCTACATTAAGTTTAAATCAACGTAGACTTTGGTTTATATTTACTTAGACTCTCAAAACCTCGGCGTCCACAAATGGAATAAATCAACCAACTGGCCGGCTACATGCAAACTATTGAGGGCGCAGTGTTGCCTAAACGGTTTGTGAAATTCGCTCATGTCGCTAGCAAGATTCATTATTTTTCTCTTGTTTGGGCCATCGAAAACTTGAAAGGCCATGGCTGAAGTTCTCGAAGTTCCAACGGCGGGTAACATTTTCCTTACACTTTTATATATCGATAAGCGTTTTCATATAGGCTAGGCGTGAGCCTGAGTATATTGTAATTTAAATTTGTATTTAGCCTTTTCGGAGTTCCAACTGCGCTAGCCCCACTAGTGTGGCCGCGGTATGCTGCGCTGAACCTCAGCGCAGCATACCGCGGCGATGTTGTGCCCATTCTTGAAAATCACGCATTCTCGAGAATGGGCATGCACATTCTTGAGAATGTGCAACTGGATCCTTGCTCAATCTTGGCAAAAAATAACTCTTCCAGATTGAGCGCACATTCTTGAGAATGCGCGACAAGATAACGGTCTTGTCGATGCCGAGCACCGGCTGCGCTTGGCAAGTCTAGCTGAATCCTCGTTCACTGATTCTCAATAATTATACTGTTGCAACGCAAGGCGCTGAGAAGTAGAGTGGATATGATAAGTAAAGGCGTATTGATATGGGGGGGGGGGGGGAAGACCGGAAAATATAAGAGACATAATAATACTAGTGCAAAGAATTCTGATTTTTGGGATAATAAAAGCGGGGGGGGGGGGGGGGGGGGGGGGGACGTAAGAATGAAGAATGTGAAGAATGAGAATGAATACTGCAACATCCCATAGTGCTAATGCTATTTCCCATTTAAATTGCCACCAATTTATTGTTCATATCCCACCATAACGTCGCAGAGCTGGATTCTATCTAGTCAAAAGAGCAATTTTGGCAGCTTCTGGACATCGTTTTTTTTTCGTGGCACGCATATGATACATGCAGGGACTTGTAACTTGTCTAGCCTAAACAAAGCACTTCCCAGACTAGTTCCCAGTCCTCCGTTATTACAAAACTTCCCATAGTGGGCAGAAAAAAGCAATAATAACAGGTTTAATTTGATTCAAATTATCGTAGTTATACAAGTACAGAAGCATAGCACATTTTCTTTCCTCTTTATATGAATTGTTTCTCTTTTAACCGCTATACAATTCATTTAACATAATTATGTCGTGCAATGTTTGTTAAGATTGGGCAAAATTCATACATTGTGCACGTGATATTCCCACCCAATCTTAAGAATGAGCACTCATTCTTAAGAACGCGTGCTCGTTCTTAAGAATGGGCGCTCATTCTTAAGAATGCGCGCCCATTCTCGAGAATGTGCATGCCCATTCTCGAGAATGTGTGATTTTCAAGAATGGGCACAACAGCCACACTACTAGTGGGGCTACAACTGCTCATTCGTAACCTGTGACAACGCACATTGTTTGTCTCTAATGCCCTTTGACAGTACCCACAGTGCACAAACAGCCTTTTTGTAAAGTCAGTGGCGCGATGTTGTCAAGACAAACAATGCGCGTTGTCATGGGTTATGAATGCGCAGTTGGAACTCCGAAAAGGCTTTTATAATTATTGCATTAAATTTACAATTTCGCTGACACAGCCTGCAAAATCACGCCACACGACTTCACAAAACTAGACTGGAGATCTTGCAGAGTGTCAAAGCGCCCTCGAGGCCTCACTGTGGACAGGTTTTTGTTATGTTAACTCAATCGTGTGTTTGTGATCGACAGAGGAACAAAGACTTGCCCCCACAGTGAGAGCAATCTGTGCAAACTGTCTATTGCCTATTGGCAAAAGTTTAGTTTAGGTCCTATTCGGTAGGACTAGTCGTTACGTCCGGTGCCCCAAATTCGCGCTGCCCAATATTCGCACAACCAATTTTCTCGACTTGTATCTTTTTCCACACAACACGGACTGACGTCAAATCACCGTTGTTGATCCATTGTCACATCGCCTTTCTTGTCGCTGCAGTTATGCGGAAATCAAAAGCTTTTCCCAGAAGTAATTTGAAAGAAATCAAAGAGAGTATAAATTATTGCCGTACTGACTAGATACAAAACGTCACATTAGTGAATGGCCAAGAAAACTAATAAAACCATCGATATGAATTTCAAATCAGTGTCGCCGTCCAACAGCAAAACAAAAAAGACAATTCGGTCAACTTTCACTAAACAACAGAGGGCTTAATCAGAATTAAGGAGCACGAAAAACAACATGCGTCTTATATCATGTTATTATTTTACGATCTGTTTCGCCGAAATGCAGATTTCAGTATCGAGTTGTTTGTTAGAATGAATATGCCTTAAACCTAATCGTAATGTTTAAAGTACCCAGTTTAAAAGAAGGCCAATACCTATTTTTTGTTTTGTTTTGAAATGATGTGTATCATGCAACCATGTGTGGAGGCAGCGCGATCAGCCACGGTATGGTGGACTGCGTGCAGGAGCGCGTGCCTGTATAATTGATTGATTGATCGCTCACAGGTGTATTAGAATGAGCAATAAACGCTGGAGAACACTGTTACAGAAGGGTGGTTTTGTTATGTTTTTAACGGAGGGGTCATTTCAAATATATTTATATTGCAAATGTTTCTATTTTTGGAGAATCTGTATAAATTTGTAATATGTAATTGGCACATGGTTGATTTTCAGCAAAACAAAAATTCTCGGAACTCTTTCCATGCATAGGCTTTAACTATTAAAGCTTCTTAGATTTTCGACAAAAATATATTATAAGATTTGTGGATTTAATTTGTTTGCCTCAAAATTTCAATTATGATATGATTTTAAATATTTTGCATGCAGTTGTGTTAACCAAAATCGAAAGAAATTCATTTATTTCATATTTAAACAAACGTGTCTTTAGTAATAATGTCGGATGGCAAACAAAAGTTAATTTATCAAATTAGAGACCAAAGATGTGCACATAAACTTATCCTTTATTCAACAAACATCGATCTACATTGTTTTCAGAAGTAGGACACAATGGAGACTCCGTAGAATGACGTTTTCCGTTCGTGCGCGAATTATGGGCACGAAAATTTCTTGGTGCTTCCTTGACGTTCGATATTGTTCAAATTATTTTTCCATGTAGTTTATTAGTCATTCTTACAATTGTAAAGTCCATAACTATGTAGGTTTTAGTTTATGCAAGAAAAAAATGGTCAAAGTACTAAGTGCGCGAAAAATGGTCACACGAGGATTTAGGTAGGACATTTAGGTTAGGTTTTTAACATTCGGATTTTGCCTGGGGATAGTAGGGTCCAAGCTAATCCGTATATGCCGAGCAACACAATTCTGTCATTGACTCAAAAACCCAACATTGCCCAACAAAAACATCAGATTTCACCCTCAAAACGACCTCCAAATTACTAGATACGCCACCTGAGGTACAAGTAGGCCTATCAATGATTAAGATGGTTGTACTGAAATTTACTTATGAGCCGCATGAAAAGTGAAATTTCCCGTTCAATTCTGAGATCCCCCCCTCGCGATAATGAACACATTAAAGTTCTGACTCGTGTTTGAATTGCGATGTGGTCATCATGCCCAGTGTTTATTCGATGGTCCCCGTATCCCGAGTGCGATTCGGAAAGATTCCCATATCTGGCCATCACTTTTCACCCTGTGCACAAACCTTATGGGACTGGTCTGAAAATTTCTGAGTGCTTTCTCAGTAAAAACTCAAACTTTGTCACTGCTAATTTTGACTTATGTAGGACATATCACTTTCTGATGGCTGATTTAAGGGGAAAATAAGTGATGGCCAGATATGGGAATCTTTCCTGTGATTCTGTTACCGAGCGTGCGCGATGCATCAATTATGATAATGAGTAGACTGGATCACGTTTGTAAACACAAGTGCATTTTGAACGATAAAAGGGAGTCGGGAACTAGCTTGAACTGGTTTACGTCCATAAAAGCTGCCCTAGCATGCATAGTTCCCAAGAATTGTATTTCAATAAATGACACCTTTCCTCCATAACATGTCATATGCCTTTTCTATATCATGAAAGACGGCTAAGGTTCTTTCTTTGTTGAAGAGTGCTTTATGGATGGAGGATTCCAGGTGAAGTGTGTGGTGCTTCTTCCTATCCTGAAGCCACTCTGGGATTTGGAGAGAAAGTTGTGATTTTCCATATATACCAAAGGAGACGAGAGTTGACCATTCGTTCCATGATTTTGCACAGGGTGGAGGTTCATGCGATGGGTCTGTAAGATAGGGGGTTAGCTGAGTCTTGTCCTGGGTTTGAGGAGGGGAATGAGGATAGCATCTTTCCATTGTTGAGGACATTCTGATGCTTGCCAGATAAAGTTGAAGATAAAGAGTAGATAATGACAAATTCTAATGGGAAGATGTTTCAAAACTATGTTACTCATGCCATCTTTTCCAGGAGAGGTGCATTTGGAGGAGTGAATAGCGTGATTTCATTCCCGTATATTGAAAGGTTCATTGATAACACTGTCGTTATAATTGTCGCTGATAAGTTTTGGGACTCTCATACACAGTATTAAGGTAAAGGTAATGAACCTGTGTTCACAGGAATTGAGTGCCCATCTCTCTTTCGAAGCGATTGGGCCAGACTCAATGTAATGCTGCTGCTGTGTGTGGGGGAGGGGGGGGGGGAGGGGGATCGCCACACCTCCTCCACAGCGAGTCTGTTACCTTTTCAGCATTGAATAATGCCGGTACCCACTTACCACCTGGGTTGAGAGGAGTAATTGAGGTAAAGTGCCTTACTCAAAGGCACCACACGCATGGTCACGATGGGGCTCGAACCCACAATCCAAGATCATGGGGCCTGTGCTCTACCGCTAGCCCCAAATTTTCGGACAAATGTCCAATCACAGTAGGCCTAAATTACAAGTAATTCCACAGCACAGGTCAACTCACACGTAACATGATGCACAGTAACAAAGGATGAACAATAACAAATTAATGTGTTTGTCACAGCTCATTTGAACAGCTTGTGACATTTGCGATGGACTTATGATGGACTGGACTGTTCACTGGTTCCTATATCATCTTTGAAAGAGTTTGCAATGTTTTTAGCAGTGGAATTAAAGATATAGTCCATCATTTGTAATTTGTGCATTTTGTTCGTTTGAAGCAACAAAAGTGTTCAAAATCTAAAGAAGGGTACTGAACAACTAACCTGATGAAGTTTCAGCTCAGCTTCAGCTGTATATTCCGAGAAAAACAGCATTCTAGGATCTCAATTTCAAATCAAAAGTTGCTGAATCATGTTTTGAATTGCTTGAATTCAGCGTCCGAGACGCGTTCTCACTGAGCCGATTGCAGCTATACGCGATGTAGCGCACTGATCCGACGAATTATAGCAACCGCGCGTGCATGTGCGTCGTGCCAATGCTTGCGTCCGCTTCGCCGAATAACAAAACGAACTACTAATTTAAATTTTCCTACGGTGCGTCTTAAGACGCACCGTTGGAAAGGCCTTCTTTCGTTGATTACTTCAAAATGACAGCTTGCCAGAAAGAATAATTTCACAGGGAGTTTAGTCCCCTTACTATCTTTCAACCAAGTATGTTTTTCAACAATAATTACGCCAGTTACTTTTCGGATGGCTGCAAATGATGGACTATAGCTTGAAATGTTTTTGGAAGCGACGACAGTGATGGTTTAAAAAATGTTGAGGGAGGCAGAGTGAGTAAGTTTCAAAGCTAATATCCCTGGGGAGTAATATCCCTCCTACTGTTTGAACAGTCACAGACAGTCAAAAGTTCTATCCACTTCCCCTGCCGTGCCCTTTACACAGGCTAGTCACCAACAGTCGGATCATATTTCAAGCAAGCACCCTGACTAGTCAAGTTTAGTCCACAGACAAAAGCAGGCAACTGGTGGGACAGCTTTCTTATCAATCACCTACAGTTAAAGCACAGCTGTATCACGTTACACAAACAGTCACAGCCAGTCAATCCTGCTTTATGTAGGCTGGGAGCACTCCTGCGTTAAAACAGCCACTTGACTGATTTTGACTGAAAGGACAACTTTGCACAGAATGCATGTTTTCATGGAGGGATGTGTTGACTGGAATATTTTCATTTCTCATTATGTTTTGTCTGCTTTTGTTCTATTTATTATCTCCAGTTGAACCCACCAAGGATATTGGAAGTAAGACTGAGGAGACGGAATCACAAAACACCTCCCAGGTACTAATCAACCCAGAGTATCAACCCTAACTCCCTAGCATGATTTACTAGGAGCCATACCCATCCTGGCAAATTCCAACACCATATGGGAAATTGCACACACATATTTCTGACTTAAATTCTGGAGGTGTGCCAACCCAACGTAAAAGACTGTCAGTTTAGGGGTACTGTACCCATCCTGACAGATTCCAACAAGACATGCCATTGGGGTTTGATGGGGTGAGTTCTGTTAAAGGGATATTCCATCCTGGAATGCACCCAATTGAGCTACAAAACATGACTTAAATGAAATGATGTTAATTGGAAAGAGCACTTAAAAGTAGGATATAAATTTACCAAATTTAGTTAGTCCACATTTTGTTTGCAATCGGTTACATATCCGTGAACAGGCGCAAGCCAGCTAGTCTGGTTCCCTCAGGCCACGAGACCACGCGGCTGACCATGATACACAGGTCCCCATTCATACTCCTGGGTGGAGAGAGGCAATTGTAGTTAAGTGTCTTGCCCAAGGGCACAAGCACCATGTTCCTGGCAGGGTTCAAACCCACGTGCCATCGTATACGAGTCAAGCAACGTGACCACTGCAATCTATTATTATATTGCACCTAGTCTGTTTTCCTTCATGGTTAATTTGAAAAGTAACTTTGTTTTTATTACCCCATCAGCAAGACAGTATATCAGACAGCATTGTTGCCAAGCACTACAACGAACGGCAAGATGTGGGCCTGACCGAGCGCACCAAGAGTCGCATCTTCTTCCTGCGCAACTTCAACAATTGGATCAAGAGCATCTGCATCGCCGACACCCTGCAGCGCCTGAGGGACAGTGACCCCACGGCCAGGCTGACCGTACTGGACCTGTGCTGCGGGAAAGGCGGCGATCTGCTGAAATGGAAGAAAGGACAAATCTCCAGACTAGTGTGCTCTGGTAATTATATAACTTTGTAGCGAAGATAACTTTATAGCGAGTACAATATATTTAACAATTGTTGACTGCTGTGATGTGGGATATGACGTTTTTAAGACCCGAGAGGTGCATAGCACCCGAGGCTAAACCGAGGGTACTATGCACCCCGAGGGGGTTTAATAATGGCATATCCCACATCACAGCAGTCAACAATTGTTTTTGTTATACCGTGCCAATAACTCAAAAAGATAAATGGTTGTAGCTTACTGTGTGAGAAATAAATTGAATCACTGCGATGTAACCTTTGATAACTGAAGGTTTAGATGTCCTGCCGGACATGAGACTGAGCGTTTGACGTTGCAGTTCTCATTGCGCAAAGCTATAGCACCAAGCAGGTTCCACATGCGTCCACAACGCGCACAATGAACGCAGTGCGATATCACCCTCAGTGTGTGACATGCATTTTGATTGTCCAGACACGTGGCCGTCCCAGACCAATGAAATTACAGTATCCAAGAACACGATATGACAATATATTAAATAATTGTTATAGCAAGTGCAATGTGTTTATGGCGTATTGTGATCAGTTGGTGCACAGTGTTAGCCTGTAAAAATAACCTGGTGCCCCGCCAAGCTTTCTGAGGCACCCGCCAAGCTTCAAAAGCTGCCGCCAAGCATCAAAAGCTGCCGCCATGCTTTAAAAAAAAAGGAAAAAATAATAAAAAAAGACAAACAAGTGCCACTACCGTTAGCCTCCAGGGTATATTTTGGCCAGAAATTCTGCCAAAAGCAGTAACATGCAACACTTGTCAAACTGACAAGCCTGCCCATTGTAGCAATCAATCAGGTCAAAAGTCTCAAGGCCAAACTGACACAGAGTCCCTGGTCACTGATGTGTTATAAAAGATGATGCTGAGCCAGTATTGTACTTAATGGTTAGTGTTACTGTGTTAGAAATGGCCTAAAAGCTGTTATCCGTACATAAATTACATGTTCATCTGCAAATAGCGCCCCCTAGCATAAAGAAATGTATGACTGCAAATAGCGCCCCTATTATAATTATAGCGCCCCCCCCCCCCTTCCGCTTTTTGACGGCGCACCGACCTTTAATTTTCGAAGTTGGAGAACACTGGGTGCATGCGTGCCGTCTTTCATATGTTAAATTGTCAGATCCTAGAGGGAAAAAACACTGGCATCCCTGATAAGAAAATCAAAATCATTTGCCAAAACTTAACCAAAAAATGTCAGATTTCAGGACACCAAACAGTAGACCAGTCTCAGTAAAGTAAATGCCCTGTAGAAAAAAACGTTTTTAAATACCATATTTTTTACAAATCTGTCTACAGATATAGCGGAGGTGTCTCTGCAGCAGTGTGAAGAGAGATTTAAGGAGTTGGGGAACCGATCTAACAATCCATACGACAGAGGCACCTTCACTGCAGAGTTCTACAGTGCCGATTTATCCAAGGTTTGCCGAAAATCACAAGATATCAATTTCTATAACTTCTGTGTGATGTGTACCAGATTTAAATCCATTCCCAGACCGATTCAGTGGGTTTTCATCTGTTTTATCAATGGGGGAGTGTGGTCAAGTGGTTAGGGTTCGTGACTCATGATCGGAGGGTCAGGGGTTCGAATCTAGCTGCTGGTCATATGTTGTGTCCTTGGGCAAGCCACTTCACTCCCAGTGCCTCTCTCCACCCAGGGGTATGAATGGGTACCGGCATTAGCTGGGGAGTAACCCTCAATGGACTGGCATCCCATCCAGGGGGAATTGCAATATTTTCAGTCGTTTCATAGCACCTTTTATTATATTTGGACTGGAAAAATCTAAAAACCTAGTAGCCAAATCTCTGTATTCAAACATTTTTTAAAACCAAATTACAGGAACTTTTGAGTGAGAAGTACGAGGACCCCAGCATCCAGTTTGACCTTGCCAGCTGCCAGTTCTCCTTCCATTATTCCTTTGAGAGCCACGCCCAGGCCGAGACCATGCTCCGTAACGCCTGCGAGCAACTGCGGCCGGGCGGTTACTTCATCGGGACGGTACCCAACGGCTGCGAGCTTGTGTGAGTGGTGCCCTGATAATCTGTTGGTGTATTCCTGTCTGAAATGGAGAATGTAATGCCTGTGTTTTGTGATTGGCTCGTGTTTATCGGAAGTCGTATGTGATGCGATCCGGTTAAATGAGTCGTTTGTCGGGAATTTTCATTTGGAGATTCAGGCCAAAATAGGGCCACTTCATCACATCACTTCATCACATCTCTTGGTGTTCTGACTTCCATAATTTTTGAACTACAGATGGTACCAGCGTGCGGTTTTCACAGCAGTAATGCTGAGATTGTGCTCTTTTCAAATCCGTAAAAAAAAAAATAGATAACTTTTTCCCCTGAAATACATGTATGAACAAAACTGCTGCCAACGGTTTACTGACGGACTGACCCGGGAGAAATATAGAAATCAAACAAGTTAAAGAGGCCCAACAAATCCAACCAGGATGTTTCTCGAAGGCCTTGTAGAAAGATTTTGTCTGGATCAAAACTTCAATAAAGATCAAACGTAGGTCGTCTAACTATTTTTGATCCTTGTTTCGTACTTTGTGGCTGCAGTGCAGGCACGTTGATTTTCTCTTTGCAAGCCAGAAATAAGTTTCAGTGGTACACACTTTGGCCGGTATTTTTGTAAGCTAGGAATGTAACTGTTGGGTGCAGTCGATCAATCTGCACAATCAGTCGATCGCTTTGCGTGATGGGTCGATTCTGTAGGATATCTCGGACTTTACTAAGGGAATAAATGTGTGTTCGGGAGGTATTATAACACTCTGTTTAAGACCGGTGGGAGTCTTGATGGGTGATAATTACCCGAGGCGATTACCCACCAGTCTTAAACAGAGTGTTTAATAACGACCGAACATATATTTATTCCCATTCATAAATACCTTTTCGGTCAACAAAAAATCTTTTCGGTCCAAAAATCAAAACATGTCAAAAACTAGACGTTGCCAAGCATTTTTGTTCAACAATTTTACTTCATGTTTTACGAAACACCCCTCTGACTATAATATGGGATGCCCCTCCACAACACGTTACCTTATAAGGACATTGGCGTGCGCGTCGCGCGTACTGTGCGATGTCGCGCAAAACGCAGCTGGGCTGGTGTAGTGTGAATTTTGGATCACGAAATACGGATTCACTGGTAGTACATTGCGCATGCATACGTGAGGAATGTGAACGTTCAACCAATGAAACGTTAAAAGGCACCGGATTTCATGGGAGTCCAAATTTCATGTGACACTGGAAAAGTGTTTAAGACCAGCTAGCCATACCTTTATCATCCGTTTAAGACCGGTCACGTGACGGGCTCTAGACCAGTAGGAATGTGTAAACTGTCTAAGGTATTTATGAATAACCTTTTAAAAAAAAATCCTCCAGAGTTGTGAATTAGAAAGAAATTGTGTTCGACTGGTGGCAGCGGGATTGACCATTGGCGTCATGATCAACCGATAGCGCAACGTGATCAACCAATGGCGCACATCAACCGAACGCGCCCAACCTAACCAGAATGTTTGCCATACCAGAAGTAGCAAGCCACAGTCGAGGGAAAAAAACGATGTAGCAAGACCAAAATATCACACAATTCATATCCACAACCAAACAAAACCTAAGAATACTGTATTGAGTAAAGTCAAACATCATCACTGATGTCTGAGTGCATGATTGATGCGTTTTGTTCTTCTGTTCCATTTCTGTTTTTATAAATCAGACGGAGGTTAAAGACTTCAGAGGGCACCCAGTTTGGCAACGACGTCTACACTGTCAACTTCCACAGTAAAGACGAGTTTCCCTTGTTCGGCTGCAGATATGACTTCCACCTTGAAGGTGTCGTCGACTGCCCAGAATTTCTTCTCTACTTCCCCTTGCTGGAAGAGTAAGTTTCTAAGCAGCGGTTGAATCAGGCATACCCCAGGGTGGCACATAGCCCTCCCCCACACCCCCCCCCCCACCCTCCCTCCTTCCACTCAGAGTTGTGACAAGTCACTGAATTTTGTGACTTGAGTCTAGTCACGTCCTTTTAAGGAAGTGACTCGAGTTAAGTCTTGTCATTAGGTCAAGAAGGTCGAGTTGAGTCGAGCCACAGTGTGGGGTCGAGTCGAGTTGAGTCTAGTCAAATACATGCTCGAGTGTTTTTGAGTCCCTGATATTTGAACATTATCTAATAAATTACAGAATGGAAGAAGGCACACAAGGCACCAGTTTATGAAGGTCCAAAGACTTGAAATATGCTGCAACTTTTTTAAAGCAGGACATCAATTTAGCCAGAGTTCCATCAAGGGCTTAGGAAATTGCTCGAAGCCAATGCCGAAACCAAGAATTGGGAAATGTGGTTCCGAGATTAAAGTTTGTGCGCATCATTATAAAACCACAAGGTGGGAGTCAGTGATATGGCATTTATTTGTACCCGATTAGCAGCCACAACATGACAGTAGGCGAAGTACGCGAACATAAATATATTTGTAGCCTAAGTCACGCAAGTTAATATTTGCACAGTTTTTAGACTCAAGTTTTATTAGCCTTCGACGTGAGTCGAGTCGAGTCTTCTGTTGAGGGACTTGAGTCGAGTCATTTGCTTGCAGTAACTCAAGTCATTTGCTCGCAGTGACTCAAGTCGAGTCATTTGCTCGAAGTGACTCAAGTCAAGTCACTTGCTCGCAGTGACTTGAGTCGAGTCAATCACTCATTGGGACTCGAGTCAAGTTCGAGTCATTATATCTCTGCCAACCCCCTCACACTCTGACTTAAAAAATTGAGTTTCCCCCATGCCGAAAATGGTGCAATCCCTTTCCACCCTTAATTTCGTCTAAAGCCGCTATTTCAAATTTTCCTCACCCATACGCAAATCCTGCTGTTGCTGATAACCTTTTTTTCCCATGCAAAGGAATGCTGCACAAGACTGACCCTAATCTTAAGATATCCGTTTGCTCAGTCCTGGAAAGCGTTTTACTTGTTGTTCTTTTTGTTCTAATCCCGTGTATTTTCTTATCAAAGATTTTCAGAGGTATTTACTTTCTTACAAACTCTCAGGAAAAAAATATTTTCTTTAAAAATTGAAATAACAAAAATCTGTCTTTGTGTGTTTGTTTGCATTTTCATCCAGGATGGCGAAAAAGTACCAGATGGAGATAGTGTACTGCAAGACATTTCATGAGTTCTTCGACGAGCATTCAAAAGACCCGGAGAACAATCGCCTCTTCGGCAAAATGAAATCCCTTGAGGTTAGTACACCCTCACCCCTCCAATAACCACCTCCCTCCCCACGCCCCCTACCCCCACCCCCTCACCCCCACCCCCCCCCACCCCAACCCCCACCTCCAACACCCACCTCCAGCCCCACTCCCTACCTCCACCCCACCCCACCCCACCTCTTCCAGCCTCACCCTACCCCCACCCCCTTCCTACCCCCACCCCCTCCCACCCCCACCCCCTTCCACCCCTCACCCCCTCCCACCCCCACCCAACCCCTATCTAAATTTGGTCAATTGGGGGTGGTATTTGCAAAAAGCCATTTTTTTTTCTCTCCAAATATGGTTTGGCTGAACCATCGTTGGAAAATAATACAAAATTCCACTTATCTTGAAAATGACAGCAAACCAGGCACAAAGATTTCACAGGATGCTTGAGACTATTATTTACTTACAGTCCAGCAAGGTATTTCTTAAAGGGAATATACATCATTTGCTTTTGCTGTAATTTTCAGAAATGGATGGAATTGGGGGGTTGGAAATATATAGCAAATATAGTTACACTGACTTTTTTGAGGTTTTGGGTTCGAAAATGCTATAAAAACGGGAAAAACAATCATTTTCCTGTAGTCTGGTTCCCTGACTCCATTTAAGAAGAAACAGAGCAGTTTACATATATTGGGGAATTGTAAGGTCAGGGAATTAGTCTAGCTGGCTTGTACCCGTTCATAGGTGTGTAATCGATTGCAAACAAGTGCGATGGTCAACTGGGGCCAGTATTAGAAAAAAAAGCCAGTTTTTTCCAATGCTGATCGGCCGATCAGCGTTGGAAATTGATACAAAAATACCACTTTTCTTGAAAATGACAGTATACCAGGTGCCATGATTTTACAGGATGCTTTACACTGTCATTCACTAACAGTCCAGCAAGGTATTTCAAAATGATTTGGTAGTTTTATTTTTTGATGTTTGCAAATGTTGTATTTTCCCTTTAACAATTTGATAGTTTTGTTTCTTAATGTTTGCAAATGCTGTACATCACCTTTAATCGTGAGAAACATTCACTTAACGGGCAAATGTTGATTTCCAGATGAAGGGAGGAAATTTTGGAAGGGGGCGCGGGGAATGAAATCTTGAGTCTCGATTTGGTTACTGACACACACATCTTCTATTTGCAGCAATATCCACCTGATCGGAACACCACAGCAAGCAGTACAACTGAGGGAGATTATTCACATGCTGAGGAGCGCCTCAACCAGCTGAAAGAACGGACAGACAGATTCATCAAACTGGTAAGCGTTTCTCATCAGTTGTTTCCAAAATGCAACCTTTCATTGCTTGGCTAAATTGAGTGCATGCAAACATGGTGGGGTGCCACATCATTAACCCTAACCTTCCCAAATCCTCCAAAATCCTCTTTGCAAAATAGAGGATTTTGCAGGGTTGAGGCTATATGGCAAAAAGGTGTGGCTGATTTTGGAGGATGCACTGTGTCAAGGTCTTGGGCCATCTTGTTCAGCCGTGCATAAATTAAGGCCGAGATTACACTTGAAATCCTCTGCATTGCTCCAGGATGTCACTGGCTCTGCCCCACTGCATTGACAGTGATTGCTGGATGATTTTGTAGGATTGAGGCTGTGAGTACCCCTCCAAGGACCACATTCAAGAAATAATGCAGGATTATGCAGGATGAGGCTGTATGCAATTTTTACATGGAAGCAGTTCGAGGATTTTTGCTGGATTGAGGTTGCATCCTAGCAAAAATGCCTAGGGAGTTAAGGTTAATGGTTTCTTCTTGTAAGTTGTAACCAGATTTTAGCCTTTAGTTGTTTTTTTTTCTGTCTCTCATCCCTCCCTATTTTGGTAATAAATAATTATTTTATTTTGTCCTCTATCAGGGAACGCTGTCAAAGTCAGAGTGGGAAGCCACCAGCCTATACCTTGTGTTTGCTTTCAGAAAAGAGACACATTCACAGCCACAGACTGCAGCAACATAACCATGACAGTAATTGCAGATGAATACATGAGTCATTCATAAATAATGGGATTATCCTGATATTTTTGTAACTGGCTCAGTCACAAGATGGAAAATATCCACCATTGCTCCATTTGTACTCCTTGCTTTTCTTTAATGTATTATGTTTGTGCTTACCTCAAAACCTAAGTCTTGGGCATTTTGTCAAGAATTTCTAAAGGTAATAGACATTATTTGCAAACATCAAAAACAGAACTACAAAATTATTATTAAATACCTTACTTGACTGTAAGTGAACAATAGTCTCAAGTATCCTGTGAAATCATGGCATCTGGTATGCTATCTTTTTCAAGAAAATTTGAAATTTTGTATCAATTTCCAACGATGGTCGGCCGACCATCGCTGGAAAAAGAGTCGACCATCGTTGGAAAAAGAACTGACTTTTCAAATACTGCCCCCAATTTACCAAATTTAGTTAGTCCACATTTGGTTTGCAATCAGCCACACATCCGTGAAAGAGCGCAAACCAGCTAGTCTGGTTCCCTGACCTGGCAATGCCCCGACGTCTATAAATTGCTCCATTTTGTCTGAAGTAGGGTCGGGAAACTAGACTACAAGAACAGCATTGTTTTCTTGGTTTTCCAGCATCTATAAACACACAATTAACAGGGTCAGTGTAACAATATTTGCTATAAAATATTAAACCCTTTAATCCGTCCATTTCTAAAAATTACAGCAAAAGCAAATGTTGCAATACAAATATTGAGTGGCTTACAGTGAAATGGTAGCGAAAGTTATCGCAAGGTAAAATCTGGACTTTTCCATTTCACGAGGCGAAGCCGAGTGAACTGGAAATGTCCAGATTTTACCAAGCGATAATATTCCTCCCATTTCACAATTTAAAGCCACTCAATATTTGTTTTATATAATTGACATATAGATCCTTATCATTTGATATATTTGAACTTTTATTTCACTACAATATTGATGGGAAATATATTTCTCTCTTCCAAACCACCCCTTCACAAAAATATTTGAACCCCACTCTGTAGCGCTGGGTCTTTGGAACAATACGCAATGCTGAACGTGCACACCAGCATGCCTTTGCACACAAATACAGCGTCATGGAACAAGAATGATCCTAAGGCCCCCCCAAAAAAGTCTCCGGTTTCTGGTATGGAGCTTGCCCAAAAAGTGATGCGGCGAAGCGGCTTTTTTTTTTTTTTACCTGATTTTTTTGCTTCAAATGTGTGCTGATGACTGCAAATGGTGCCCGACTAAACTTAGTGCAAATATATGGGAGTCCAGAGAGGCCACATAAAGCTTATTCTCGACCATAACCCAATCTAAAAACACGTTAAAATTGTGCAGCAGCAGGATTCCGGTCAAACCAGTGAGTTTGGCGGTTCTGAGACATCATCTTTCATTGAAAAAAAACTTTTTCATTTTGCCGACGCGCATGGCTACGGCGACGTGAGCACATACCGGAAACCGGAGACTTTTTTTTTTGGCCTAACTGTTCAATAGTATTTCCAATTCCCCATGGGCGGATAGTACTTTTTGAGACCCGGCGTGAATGGGAGTAATAACGAATGTCATGTGATGTGAGTTCCACCAATCAAGTGACAAGGATATGTATGTCGGTTATATAAACATGTATATTAGCTTTAAATTTTCAAGAATTGAAAAGTCATCAGTAAACCAGTGATACTTTTTGAATAAAATCTGGAGGTCCAGTCTTGTAAGCCGTTTTACGGATACTGCCATCTTTGTGGTCATGTGGAAATCTCGAGGGAACATTTCAAACAAATCAATCCCATCATGCCGTTGTATCCCGAGCATGATGGGACTTAAAAAGTATTTCTATTGAAATTCCCCCCGGAGTTTACCACATGACCACAAAGATGGTGGAATCCATGAAACGGCTTATGCAACATCGATATTGCAAAACCAGTCAGTGAGTTTCGGTAATTAGGTTTAAAAAATATCAATATTTGGATGTAAATCATGTAAATGATTCATATTGTGTTTTCCCTGTTATATCTTGAGCTTCTTAATACAGGGGGAGTCAAAAATAGCGAAACCTAAATGTCGGGACCATTGTTTTAGTGAAGTTGTACATAAGGCACTTTCAAAATCTAGCACATGAAAGCCCAATTCATAAGCTTTCTTTTAGTACAAGATTCATTCAAATCAGTCATTTGCTTTTCAAGTTACAGAATTGTAAACACAGCCACCGTTTTGAAGTTCTGTCCACGGATCACAAAACATGCATGCGTTCTTTCAGCAAAACAATTCACACACATCCCCATGTGATTTGTTATCGTTTTGCTGAAAGAACACTTACCTTCTTGTGATCCGTGGACAGAACTTTAAAATGGTGGTTGTGTTTAAAATCCCGTAACTTGAAAAGTGGATGAGTGATTTGAGTGATTCTTGTACTAAAAGAAAGCTTATGAATTGGGCTTTCGTATCGTAGATTTTGAAAGAACTTCACTAAAACAATGGTCCCGATATTTGGGTTTCGTTATTTTTGACTCGCCCTGTATAACTTGAATTTAAAGTATTAAATTTGATAACTTGCCATCAATTTGAAAACCTATGATTTTTAATTTCTAGTAATAAGAACATTTTTCAGAGAAAAGCTTTTAAAAAAAGCCACAGCACCTTGTTTTGCTTTGTTTTCTCCTTAACTGTTATGTGAAGTTCAAACCTCGCTTCGTCAATTTCTTTGTTCAACTTTAAAAATTTGTTTTTGAATTGTGTGAAATAATACTTAATGAAACATTCTGGAACAGGAATGTTAGTCTTGAATAATTGGTTAATATGAACAAGCTGTATTAATCTCTTGGTTTTAATTGTTTGTGTTTGCGTGGTTTAAATTAAAAGCAACTCAGTTTGCACTAGTCAAAATTATGATGTACCAAATGCATTTTTCCATGCATTAAATATTTTGTTTGTCTGTTTGCCTTAAAATAAAGGAGTTTCTTTTTCTTTAAAGTGATCTTCGATGTTATCAGTGAGCTAATAAAAGGTGTCATATTACCAGTGTTGGTAAACGAATTTCACATTGAAATACCTTTATACCTTTCTTTGTAGACCAATGCAGGCACGCTGTCAATTCTATCACGAAGGCCCCCTTCAATGGCAAAAGCATTGTACTAGCTATTGTCCTGATAATCTTTGACAGGGCAGTTGCTACCTGGCTCGATCTTAAAAGCTGTAGCCGGTTGCAATGTGCCACTGTGCAACACCCCCCCCCCCCCCCCCCCCCCCTGTTATGCCACTGCCCTGAGGCGAGTAAAAATTTAATGGAAGAACAAAAAACCTATCCAAAAAACCTAGACCAAAGGTCTACATTCAAGAATTTTTTGCTGATGAACCCCCCCCCCCTGCGAAAAATCATCGATCCGCCCTGACGCCTGTTGTGATCCACGCTTTTGGCGGGTCGTTAATATTCATCATCGGAAGTTTTGCAAGGTGTCAAAATGCCACTTATAAACAGACGAGCGGCGAGCCATCATCTGAATATCACGCTGCCTAGCTGCTGGGGCGTGGCCCACAGGGCTTCCCTCACTTGCTAAATAGTCACTCTAGCCGTGGTCATAAAGCGTTCGTCATTATTCGTCCGTACGCCGGAACATTCGGAGGAAGTAAAAGTCGTAACATGGTTTCCGTAGGTGAACCTGCGGAAGGATTATTACCGATCAAAGAGAAAGAAAACCCGGCCGTCCAAGGGGCCGAGGTTTGGTTGTCCCCGGCCGGCCCCCTCTCCAGTGGGGCCAGCCGTGCTGTCTTCCGGGTGTAGGCGGGAGTGTCCAACGCCAGGGTTTTGGAAGCGCTGCCGAGTGCCGCACCAGTGCCCCGCATGGGGGAGACAGCGCGGCCGGAGCGGGTCGCCCACAGAACTCTGGGCCCGGGGATGCCCGGGCTAGGTCTCGAATGGACCACGAGGATCGGTTTATCTGCGCCGACTGCCGCGTCGGACCGCGGCCCCGCACAGGCGCCCCTCCGCCCCCCCCCATAAACCCAATTCTGCCGGGGGGGGGGGGGGGGCTCAGACCCGTCAGATTCAGGCCCGTCGGACGCACAATAACGCTGCAGATTAGCTTTACTGTGCTTTGTAAGAGCAGGGGAGGGGTTCGAACCCCCCTAAAAAAAACACCCAAAAACAAAAACAACTCTGGATCCGCGCCTACATGTCAATGACAGTTAATTCTATTAAGCCCAATTTAATGGCATTTTAGAATAAAATTAAATCCTTAATGTACATTCTTGTGTTCCACTTGACTTTATTTTTCAATTTTGTATTTCCAGTTTTAAGGGTGAGGGGCTTTGTTTTTTTCGTTTTTCCTATTTTGCGAATTACTATATTCAGTTAGGAATTTTCACAATATTTAAGAAACGTTATTGGAAAGATGTATATTGTATAAGCCTATGGCGTTTCTTACGTCAATTGGAAATTGCGCCATTAATAATAGTAGTCATATTGATCGAACGAAACTTAATTTGATTATAGTCCATTATTAAATATTCATTAATTTATGACAGAGACCTTTGTTTCGTTTTTAATACTACCGGAGACCTGTCGAGCAGATGTAAATATCAAACTAAACCAAAGCAAAAATAAATACAGGCTAAAAAAAAATCAAAAAGTTCTGTGCTAGCCAAGCATTCAGGGATATCGGACTGAGCCATAACAATGCCCCAGCCAACCCCTCAGGGCTCTTCCGGGATCTCGGCGTTCCCGGCCAATACACACCTCCTTCCCTGTCCATCCATGTAACCCGAGGGCCAGGCACCATGTAAAAGCAAAGAGCTAAGGGAGGAACAGGGCGGCACCCTAAGCCCTGATCCTCCGAGTGGACCACATGCCCTGAACCTATACGCAGGCGCCAACCTGGACTTCACAGACAGTCTCAGCAGCAGTGCTTACCGATTAAGCTAAGGTACTGTTGGTGATTTACGATGGGAAATGAAACATCTTATAATGACCGAATGCGTTCGTTAAAAAGCAAAAAAAGACACCGAACCGGGATTCGAACCCGGGCTTCGCGATTCGTAGACGACGAATCTAATTAGATTCGTACCACTACGCCATTCGGCTTCCTTAGAATTCTGCTCAATAATGATTTGTCTGAATAGGCGGAGAAACATTGAGCACGGCATCTGTTTTATCTAGCTCCATGGACGAACAGAAGTTGATACTTCGGGCAGCAATAAGCCAACTGTTTTCATTTGTTATGTTTGGAAAAATATATACGGCAGCTTCGTTAGTCGTAGGCCTATACGTGTGCTAAACCTACGTATCGTTACACAACA